CAAGAGCTCTCCTCTAAATTATATGTGGCTAAAGACTAACACAGAGGCAAAAAAAAAAAGAGGAATCACACACAAACATTCTCACTGTGCAGTAGCTGTGATCAATCTAAATATATCCATTAGTTAGCTTCTAAATGGATTAAACTATGTTCACATAGACTGAAATTCACCCCTCTGAGGATGGCCAACACAAGGCTTATTTATTCTACACCATTTACATGCCACATAAGCCCTATTTTTTAATACTTAAGTGAGACTAAAGTGGTGTATAGGCCTCATGCTGGCCCTCTGCACAAGGGTGAATTTCACTTATACGCTACAGTGCAGTTATATACTCCATAGTAGTACATCATGGCTGAGCCATCTACAATATATGCCAGTTGCTAGAGCTATTGTGTAGTGAAGTGGAAGGTAAATTGACTTAGTCAGTCCACAAGACAGTTAAACAAAATGGTTCTTCTGTTCACTGCCTTTCTATTCAGCAGGTAATTCTGATTAATGATGCAGCAAATCCATCTTTCTGTTACTTTAAAACATTGAACTTCAAACAGCTTTCTTTAGGCCTTTCCTACCATATGGTGGAGAAAGCGATAAACAAATTAAAGAATGGCAGGAATTGGAATTTACACATTAGGATGTATTGTAGAGGTTTATGAAAGAAATCTGAGGTTTTCTGAATGTTTATCCAAACTGGAAGAACCAGTCTGAATCAAACTATGAAAAACTATATATATTGGTGTATGTATCATAATGTCTGTAACTACACGTAGGTGCTGGAACTACGGGTGTGGGGGGGATGGTGCAGCACCCCCCCGCTTGAAGGGTTTCCATTATATACAGGGTTTACAATTTGGTTCAATGGTTCTCAGCACCCCCCACTATAAAAATTGTTCAAGCACCCCGTAACTACCTGTGTAAAACAGCATATACAGCAAAAACACACACCTGTGTTTTGTATTATATAGAACAGAAGTCCTGAAAGAACCCACTGCATTTGTGAGAGGACAAATATTGACCCTACTCCTCTGGGCAGATTACAATTGAGGTAATTGTATTTTGCTTACGTACATTTCCCTTGCAGTTCCATTTAGAAAACACATGTATTCACTTCCTGTTCTGAATTGTTTTGTGGTGTTCTGTGAACTACTGGACAACTGCTGTTTTGGGCTGGTTTTTTACTCAAATATGGGTGCATTTCAATGACTGATGAATTGATAATTGTGTGTCGTATGTAACTGTTTACGTTTGTAAAGTATTCGAGATCTTTCAGGATGAAAGACAAAATCTAAATACAGATCTACTGATACTGATGGAAAACAATGCTGGGATGTGTATGTAAACACAGTTGGCTAACTAGTTTCATGGGTATTGGTTATCCTAAAAAACCACATATAATTTAATAACAGATATTTGGAAATAAAGAATAAATATTAGTGAATTGAATATCAAAAAGTATAGTAGGGACATTCAACTCTAATTTCTACTTGCTGCATCAATAGTGAACAAAGGGTGTCAACATGGCTCACACTAGATCCTGCTGGCAAAGGACATGTTGGACAAGGAAGGCAGGGTGGAATATACAATTTACTGCTCTGTAGAAAAGGAACAATATGGACCCTGTCTGCCCTATGCAGCCCACCTTGGCCATATGTGCTGTAATGTGCTCTATTTAGTTCTACCATTGAAGAGATGATGCTTTCATATTCTGGAGTAGAATGCAGCCACTTGTCTCCAGAAATTAGGTGGAATGAACATATTACACTGGTACTTTCCTGCTCAACACTGGCTACCTATTAGCTTTTGGGTGCAATTGAAGGGGTTGATTGTGATCTTTAGGACCTTAAATGGTGTAGGACCCTGTTTTCTAGGAAACTGCAACCTGCCTGAGGTGAAAATAAGTAAAGAGGGAACATATGGCAAGAATTAACTGTTCATTTCTAGACCAACATGTTTTTGAGGTAGAAGTATTCCAGGGAAATAACACCACATTGTCTGGATGTTAGCTAACACCCCTAATGTGCACTTTCAACCTTAACAACTTCCTAACTAATAGTTAACTCCTAGTTTTTATTGCTTAATAATAATATTCTGCCCCAATTACCATTTACACAAAATTCTGTGTAAGATATGCACTGAAATTGTCAGTATCTAACACAGCTCTGATTTCTGTGGCTTTTCAATTATTTTATATGTTGTTTTTGTAATTTACTTTTAAAATATTTCATTTTGCAACTCTGACTTGGCATTTGCAAAACTACTCAGTCATCAATTTGCTCGCTCACCCTTGTATCATCATTGATCAATGACTGGGGTGGTTTAGAATCCTTTCCTATATGTGGGGCCATTACCTCATTAATCTTTTTTGCTGCAGGCTCTGGATATTGGCAGGCAGTAGCAAAGGGTGTCTTTGTGCATTTAACAGAGACAAATGCTTTAGCAGTGTCTATTTTAAATGGTCGTGTCACAGAAGGTTTTTCTTCAAAATGTACCTAAAGCAAAATTGTAGCGCTTAGGAGTTGTTAGGTAGGATAAAAATGACCATTCCTCTAACTTCTTCCAGTCATACTCCATTTCTTACCCACTAGACAACCACACTTCCCTCTACGAGAAAACTCCAGTTTCCATAGAATTAGACAGTGAACTGGGACTGCCCTATCAAGTTAGAACATATTTAGGAACATAGAAATTCCCTTACCAGATCAGTCCAGTAGTCCTTCTAGTCCAGTGTCCTACAATATACAGTAACCAAAAGCATCACAGGAAAGTGCAAGAAACCCATAATGAATGATTATGGAATAACCTGATCATAGCAAAAATATTTACCTAACCCCAGAAGTCAGTGGTTTGCTAATGGCTGGAAGAAGGTTCATAATCCCTATACTTTTTATCCTATTTAATGTAACTATATATATTCTCATTATCCATCTCAATATCTAATCCTTTTAAAAAAGCCTGTTAAACTCTTTGTTTCAATGATGTGTGACTATATCAAGTTAATCATGGATTGTGTCGTGAGGAAAAAGTATTTAATATTAATATTTCTTGTAATGTATTGCCTTTCAGTATCGTTGGCTGTACCCTTATCTTTGTACTGTGAGGCTAAGTAGAAGCACTCAACTTGCCTATACTAGTCAGTTTGCTGTATCTGTATCACATCTTTTTTAAACAGTCCTAATGTTTTCAGTCACTCAGTGTATGGAAGTCTTTCCATGATTCTAATATATTTTTTTTAAATCTCTGGTCCCCTTCTGTTTCTGCTGGAGCACATACTCCAGTTCGTCAAGTCCACTTTATGCCTGTGCAGGATATCTCGCCACCAGCAAAAAGCTGACTGAGGTAGCTCTGCTGCCCCGGTCAAACTGGCATCCAAGGAAGATGGGAGATGGCTTGTCTATTTAAAAGTTTCAGAGTAGCAGCCGTGTTAGTCTGTATCTGCAAAAAGAAGAACAGGAGGACTTGTGGCACCTTAGAGACTAACAAATTTATTAGA